TTTTGTCATTCGATTTAGCGCAACACGATTTTCTGACAACTCGACGGTGTACTTCTAGCATTCTAATTCATATGTAGCATTCAATTTAGCACTTTGTGCACTTAAATTGATGGTCAATATACATGTCTCGTTTATTACACATTTTATAGCTCATTCTTTTTCTTTCAAGATTGTTTTTTCATGTGTATTTCATCATATTTCATTTTCTTGCATTTATACACTTATACTTATTAGATTTATTTGATATTCATCAGCATTTAAGTTTGATCGTTAAAAAGAAAAAAACGACTTGCATCTACGGACCTGATGGTCTCAATATATTTGTAAATGTTCATGTAAGGAAGTTGTTTGTCTTATGTTTCATCATAAATTTATCATAATTTCATCATAATTTCATTATGGAAGAAGGTTACAATACTGTGACTGGGGTAGGGACTTAAGTCAACAATTTTAACATGAATCATTATTTAGCCAAGTCTTTAGCCATCGATCTGCTGGCGAGCAAGTAAACTATAAAACTCTTTAAGAAAAACAGAGGGGTGTGCTGGGTATAAGAGACGATGTGAATTACTTTTGTAAAATTCCAAGTCTGTAGTAAAAAGGGGTGATTGAGGGTACCCCCTACTTTCCCGGGTATATATGTCCGTGCAGAATTGCCATATCCCTTGATTTCGACCCTTCTTTACTTTATGTTTGACTTCACCCATAGCTCTGCATTGTCCTGAAAATGAATAACCGGAATAACAGCTTAGACCCCAATGGCAAATCATGCATTTTAACTGCATTATTTAAAAACTTTAAAAGTTTGTTGCAATTCTTCCCCCTAATATTCCTAACTTGAATACAAATATTACGAATACGAATGACAGGTGTTAATTTGAATGATAAAAATTACGCTTCGACAAGTGAATATTAATTTGAATGCTAGTTGAGCAGTTTCTAGATTGAATGGCAGATCTATGAAACCCTTCGACCAAAATCCTAAATTAAATACAAAAACTGGAAAATTGAATGATAATTGGCATGGTAAAGCCGATCTGCGCTAACTTAAATGCAAAGTAAATGAATTCGAATGACAAACACGCGAATTTGGCCGGCAAATCCTATAGAAAAAGCAAAGGGCCTAAAATTGATCCTTGAGGAATTCCACATTTGGTAGGTAGGAAACTAGACAAAACATCATTATACATTACATATCGTTTTCTGTTAGATAAATAGCTCTCAAACCATAACAATGCAACTCCACGAATTCCAAAACAGTAAAGTTTTTTCAGTAAAATTTGGTGGTCCAGTGTATCAAAGGCTTTTGATAAATCCATAAAAACTCCTGTTACATGTTCTTTATTGGCCATAGCATTCGTTATTTTATCATATAATTGTACACGAGCTTGGTCAGTTGAATTGGGGCGGGGCATATGCGCGAATGTGACGATTTAAGTTCACGATAGCTGCTTAGTTTAGGTAAACTAGCAAAAAATAGGTAGATACATGTACATTGATTTATTGAGGTAAATTGCTTCAAAACACAATACAGGCACATTCTCCAAACAATTAAATAATTCAGCATTGAAAATAAAAATGAATTTTAAAATATTTTACATCTGACTCGGCCCCATATTCATGCGTATTTCACATCTGACTCGGCCCCCATATTCATGTGTAATGCAGATCCCATGATTACAAAATCATTACATATATGGGGCATTATTATAAAGGGGAATAAACGGGCTTTTCAATGATACTGACATCGAGTATGATAATATGGTGACAAGAGAGAAATCAACACTCAAACTTAATTGCAGAACTTTTTGTTGAGGGTGTATTGAATAGAAAAACTTCAAAGTTTATATCGTGATGACTTATTATTTGTGACTAATTAGGTGATACGTACGAAGTCTACGTATCACCTATTGATTTCGTCAAGATTTTTATTAGGTGATACGTAGCTCCAAATCATCCTAATTTTTTTTGCATACGTTTCAGGCCATATGGAGCATTTGACAAAAAAAATCATGCACACGAGCATGCGCGCGCGTTTTTGCGCGTACTAGTATTTTGCAACATAGAATCGCCGAATTTTCTCTGTCATCGTATTTGGCACATTTTTCCAAGCATTTTGATAATTTTTTCACCTTTTAATAACGCAATGAGCGTCCGTCAAAGTTGACAGCACGCGCGGATTTGCGTTATCTTTATCCACAATACATGGGCAAAAACATGCCTATACAAAATTCATTGTAACTCTTCAGAATACATAGAAACTCCCAATATTTTTTCATATGTGGATAGATTATGAAATGGAAATATGATTTCATGTCTCATTTGACCCTCAATTAACTCATGATGTCATCATAATGGCCTCCGAACTCGAAATTTAAATTTGCATATTATGACGTTTGCATATTTTAGGAAAATTGATTGTATCTCTGTTAATATTGATTTTTTTTCTTCTAAATTTTGATATGTTCTAGCTGAGATAATTTTCTACAAATACAGTGTTCATAATTTTCTAGTTTGACAAAGTTATCATGGCGTATTTTAGCGATTAAAGGAGGCATGTCAATTTTTCACATTTTGCGTGTATTGTCTATGGGACATGACTATTTCTCAAAACTGCATTCTACATTTCCGTCTTTCGCGAGCAACATCTCCGTTGTTTTAACTTTGTTTTCGGTGAGCTTCGGGTATGTTGTAGCTGAGACAATGAGCTATCTCCAATGTGCACTTTACTTTTTGCATGTAATCCCTATGGGAGATGACTTTTTCTCAAATCTGGATTATACATTCCTGTCTTTTGAGCAATATCGCCGTTATTTCTGCTTGGATTTTGTTGATTTTTGAGTATGTTGTAACTGAGACTATATGCTAACTAAATCATCCATCATTTATTCAATAAGATTTCAGGATCACGCTTATGATCATGATCATGATCATCATTATCATCATGATCATCATTATCATAATGATGATAATCATTTATCAATAACATTTTTATTTCTTTGAATAAGATAAAATCGTCAAAATGTGTTCTTATGATGTAAATTAGAGTTAAAGTTGTAACTGGTTACTGCACAGGGTCAATGGTCATATATTGTTTCAATCTATCTTCCCTAGATCCATAATGATCAAGGGGACACAATTTAAACTTGACATATGGATAGATCATAATGGGAGAAGAATTTTATAAAATAACATATCGTGTAATGCATTCTTCGTTATGTAAACCATTAGCATACGTATCACCTAATTCGTCTAAGTGACAAATTAAAGTCTAGTAACATTTATTATTGTTTAGCTTTTTAAAAGTTCAAATCCAATATAGATTAACTTTTTTTCATCCAGATACTACATATACCTAAGTACTACATTTTGAAAAGACACTTAAGTGGAGAGCATCTTCAAATAAATGCCAAAGGAATTTCTGCACAACAAATACAGTAATTTAACAAATTACTTTTTTTTTTACGTTGGTAACACAGATAAATTTTGCAAATTACTGGTTACTGATTCAGTTCACGTTTGTAATGTGACATGCACCATGTTAGATATGATTTTCCTTGAGAAAATTTGGATTTGTATGATCAGAATAACTATTTGATGTGCTTGTTCAGAGTCACCTTGATACTTGATCAATTCAATTACTGTTTTGATTGATTGTTTGTATCAAGTAGCAATTGATGAAGGTGGAAAATGTCTCTTCTTTTTTGTCACATCCACCACAAGGAATTGCAGGCAGTCATAAATGTACAGAATGTATAACCTGGTGAGCAAGTGACTAGTGCTCTCAAAACTTGAGCAGAATTGTTACATCCGCCATGTTGAATACAATTTACAGTGAAAAAAAAACTTTCATATGAACTGAAAATTTCTTTTTTGATTGTTAACTTGATTCGTGCTAACTGTCCAAAAGGTAATTATTAAATTAGGGCCTTTATTTATTGATCAAGATTTGAAATTTCCGTAGACATCTATTTTTGTCACATCTGTACACTCTCGGTTTAAATTTCAAACTTAAAAGAAGGACGTTAGCAATGTGAGTATTATGTATGTGTTTTTGTCTCACAACACAAGCATTATCTCAACAAATATGACACATCCTAAAATGAGGAAGTGTCAAAAATAGAGAAATTTTTGAAAAGTAATTTTTCTCGTTTAGATGCATACTTTTCCTTCAAAGTTGTATTATTTAGCAGTAAATTGAGCTGAAAGCCCCAAATTTTGCACAAAGTTTGCTTGAACACCATCTAATTGTGGAAACACATCATTATGTTGGTTTGACAAAGGGTCCTTTAGCTATGTCCAAATGTCTATGTTTGTCTTCAAAATTATCTGAAACTCCAAAAGAATCATTAGAGATGATGATACAAATTAAGCATTGGCATTACTTTGCCTTTAAATTCACATTCTTAGGAGTAAATATTCATGATTTTCTTTCTTTCAAAGAAGACTTGAAATTTTTATACCTTGGTTGACAAAAAGTGGTGCCTAACCGTGAAATGTGTCTCAACAATTTGTTGATAGACAAAATGATTAAACTGGACCAAATAGTTATTGGACCATGTGGCAAAAATGTATTTGATAAAGTGGCAAACTAGACAAATTAATATACAAATAATACACATCAGTGAGGGCATTAGTAAGAATTACCCACACGAGTTACCTTTGGAACAGTCTAACATTTGGACTGTTTTGAAGGTACCAAGTGTGGGTAATTTTACTAATGCCCGAACAAAATGATGTGTATTATTTGTTTTATAAGATTTTGTTTGATTTGATTTATGAAATGAAGTTTTCTAACATGATTTTGATAATGACCGGTCATTACCATTGGATAATGACCGGTCATTACCCAAATTAGGCGCGATTACGCGTTGGGCAAAATAAATGCCTGGTCACGTGTACGCTTTCAACCAATCATTTGATTAGGACTCACGTCATCATCTTATAATAATAGACTAATGGACTGTTTTGAAAAAGTAACATTAGCAAGACAACAAACATACCTATCATTGTACAAAATTTTATTACATTTGGACAAGCCATTTTTTAAATTAAATTATGCATTAAAAAAGAGCAGGATTTGAACAAAAATAGGAGGTGGACTGTCCTTGAAGAAGCCAACTTACATGACTGTTTGAATAACTTTACAAATATGTGACTAACAAGAGAATAAGATGTTGACAATATGCCCCCTCTAAAATATGGTAGGATCACGTTTGTAGTAGTAAATATCTCTGTAATGGTGCTGGAAGTGGTAATAGTTTAACAGAGGCAGGAAGATGTGTTGTTGAGGTGATGCCGAATCGTGTAACGACACTGTTGGCGCAATGACCGGGGTTGGCAGCAAAACTGCTGTAGCATATTGTACAAGGCCGTGTCATTTGTGATGGATGTGGGGATCATGCCATCTTCGTCTCTGATGTCAAACTGACCCGAAGCATTGATGAGTAAATCTAGGCATTGTTCATCCTCTTCAACATCAAGCCCAGCTGCGATCAAGCAGGCAACTCGAGAGATGGGGGATACTCCGTCAATACTTAGCGTGTGGGTCTCAACACCGTACTCCAGTAGCAAGCGCACACACTCATAGTTTCCTTTCATGGCTGCCCAGTTGAGTGGGGTATTGCCATGGATATCTGATAAGTTGATAAGGGCATTTCTTGTGAGCAGAGCTTGCACACATTCAACCTTATTGCGAAAGGAAGCCCAGTGAATAGCAGTCTCACCATTGGTGTTAAGAGCATTGGGGTCAGCACCCGATTCCAGGAGAAGTGTTAAGCAGTCTTCATCTTGTTCAGCAGCATAATGGATAGCAGCCCGACCATATCCATCAACAGCATTCACCTGTTATTAAACATAAGGTAAATGATAAAACAACATCATCAGATTTCTTTTAAAAACATTATTTAACATGATTGCAGAGACTTTCTAATTTAAAGGAGAATATAACCAAACAAACTGATAGCTTTATCAACAATTATTACATATTATAAGCCATCTAAATCTAAAATATCTTGAAATTACTCCAAATTGAAGATTACCGGTACCGTAGAGTTTGGATAAAAGAAGGTCAAATATCAAAGGTTAACAATTCAATTTATGTGAAATTTATAAGTTTTTAAAACTTGCAATGGCCAAATCAATGACTACTTAGAGCTATTTTCACTTTGAACTTAAAACCTGTAACTAGTACATGTATGCATACTGTAGGGAGCATGGGTGTTCTAGCCCAACAAAAAGCTTAGCACCTCCTCTCTGTCAAATCAAAACATGAACACACACAGGACAGTCGTTTTGATCTCGCCGTGTACATTTTCATTCAGATTCGCAATGGAATCCAGAAGTCAGAAGTGGGTATGATAACTATGTGTCTTGTTCAGGTGTAGTCATCAATTTTGATATTCAATTTATAGAATAATAACATTTGAACATGTTGGGGGTATTTTTCTTTACACATTTAACTTCCTGTTGTAAAATATATGAAGAAAAGACATAGTAAATTGTAGCCCTGCGTTAACAACAACAAAAACATTCGAGATTATTAAAAATGTTGGTCCTTTCTTCCGTTTGTTTCATGAATTCTTTAAAGTAGATATCATTGATTAAAAAAACTAACTTTATTTTCATTACCCGGTATTGCAAAGTTGAAACTTTGATTCGACAAGGTTATCAAAATTCAATATTTGGAAACATTCGAAGTAATGATTATTATGGTTTTATTTTGATGACAAATGCAGCGATACAAAAATGAAGGAATCTGTCGCTTGTAAACAAAATAAGACGCCATTGTATATTCAGCTGCACACACCGCCGTATGTTCGGCGTTTCAAGAGGGAACAAATGCCGTCCTTAATATCATCCCCAGGGTTTTCAATTTGAAAGTCTGGTTTCTTTGATTGTTAATTAACACCTATCCTGTGTATTTACAAGCAAAAGATTTTAGTTATCAGAATCGGGTCATATCCACATTTGAATGGTTTGACATGCCATTACATTTATATACACTAAACTCATTATAATTTGACAAATAATAGCTTTGCAATTGTGTCCATTCTTTATGGGATGTCGACTGCTTGGGCAGTATTGGTCCATATAGTGACGTCATTAAAACTCTTGTATATCCCAGCTGCTATGGAGGTGGTTGTATTTTTATAAATCACCCGATATGTAGTTGACCTAAAACTTGTACGATGGCCATCTGTTAGCTTACCAGTTTCTAGTGATACATTAGTTGACATATTTGTGATTTTCCGATCATGACAATGCAGATGCATGCTAAACTACCATTGCCCTCAGAAGTTAACCCTAACAAAGAAGATGTGTTCTATTTCTCTCATGTGGATAGGTTGCCAATCACATCAGATGGTATTAGGAAGGCAACACGTAAAGACAGAGTGTTTTCTAGAGTTCATGATTTCATAGCAAATGGCTTGCAAAATTACTTAACACAGTCAGAGTCAGTGGTCAAGCCATACTTTGCACATACAAATGAGCTATCAGTAGATAAGGGTTGTGTTATGTGGGGTGCTAGGGTTGTAGTTCCTGAGAAGTTCAGAGAACAGTTACTAGAAGAGCTTCATGATCAACACCTAGCGTTGAGTTTGACAAAGAGTCTAGCAAGAAAATATCTTTGGTGGCCAGGGTTAGATAAGGAAATAGAAAGAGTAGCAGGATGTAACACTTGTCACATGGTTGGAATGAACCAAGCCAAGACACCTACATCCTTTGAAATGGCCGGCCAGAGTTTGGCGAAGGTTGCATGTTGACTTTGCTGAGATTGACAAACAGCAACTATTCATAGTAATCGATAGTCATAATATAAGTCATTTTAAGTAGGTTGAGGTGTTCCCGATGAACAATACTACATCAAGCAAGACGTTGGATATTCTGAGAAGCCTTTTTGCGGCATATGGCTTCCCAGAGGAAATAGTGTCCGATAATGGACCACAGTTTGGTTCAGAAGAGTTTGCCAAATTCGTGAAAAGAAATGGGGTAAAACACACTTGAGTGTCTCCATATCACCCGGCCTCAAATGGAGCGGCAGAACGCACAGTTCAAATTTTGAAACGGGCACTAGTCAAACAAATGCTAGATCCGAATCCAAAGAAACAACAGATATCACCGGCCCACAGAGTGGCCAACTTTCTGTTCCCATATCAGAACACGCCTCATACCACTACCAATCAAACACCTGCTGAAATTTTTTTGAAGAGACAAACCAGGACTGGGTTTTCTTTGTTTAAACTGAACTTGGCTATTAAAGTCAGTGGAAGGAAATCAGGCAAGACAGAAAATGTATCATGACAAATGGGCAATTCCACGGTAACGGACGGACACTCAGACAAGATTTTTGAACTTCAGGTTCATACTAAAAGAACTGTTTTATTAGTATAAGATGTGAAACAGTACAGATATAATACCTATATAAGTGCCTTTAATTCTCCCCCAAAAATTGTCATTATAGTTAAGTAGTTTAAGAATGTGCATATTAATTATCTCGGTAACGTAAGGACATAAAAATGGACATGGTTTTTCCAGTTAATTAGTGTTTATCCAAACTTTGTGAAGTTGATGAAGCTTTCCACTTGACTGAAACACATTTTGTTCCCCATAGTTTAATACATACTAATAAAACTTCTTTTAGTATGAACCTGAAGTTCGCAAATCTTGTCTGAGTGTCCTTCCGTTACCGTGGAATTGCCCAAATGTAAGGTAAAAGAGAGAATTTTGGAGCTGAATCAAAAAGTCATGGTGAGAAACTGTGTTAGCAAGTGGGTGAAATGGTTACCTGGAATAGTAGTACACAGGCATGGACCAAGAACGTATTTGACAAAAATGCTTGGAGATGGGAAAGTAAGGAAGGTACACATAGATCAAATCAGGTGTACATCATCGAGATATGAATCAAGAAGTACTACTCAAACAGAAGGGAATTCTGGTGAGTCAGAACTTGAATCAGATTGGACACCAGAAGTAGAATATAAAGATCTAGGTTCAAACAGTAATCAAACAATGGTAAACAGTGACCAGAGGCTGACCAACGGAGGTGAAGGTGAACAGTTTGGTCAGGGAAGGTATCCTCTTAGAAAGAGAGCCCCGGTTGTTAGGTTTTGCTACGGTCACAAAGGTTCGTACGGATGATAATTTCGTACGAATCTCCCTGTTTTTCCATAGTCTGAAAATCGTTCGTACGGCGTTCGTATATAGCAGTTCGTAATGGCATTTGTGACCGAGGCTTTAGATATATGTACAGTTAAAACTGTGATGTGCAAAGGAGACATCAATGAGGCATTTTAAACTTTGTTACCACCAATGAAAGTAAGTCCAAATAGGCTACTAATTTGATGTTTCTTGATAAAACTATGATTACTGGTGTTATTTCAAGTCACATATATTGTATGTGTAAATGCATAATTGGGTATGTTGCCATTAGGTCATGGTTACCCACGTCACATGCAAATCATCACAAAATACTAGTATACGATTCAATATCAGGATTTGTAGAAATACTAATCTTATGTCATTTTGTTTTCTGGTAATATTTAATGCCCATCTCCGAAACCGTCAGCATAATGCAATACGCATAATAATTCTCTCAATATTTTTCAAGACTAAAGAAAAGTGTACAGTAGGCTTGCTGTTGCACAACGTGAGAGAGAGGGTGGATTGGGGAGTCCTGAAAAGGACTGTTGATATAGTCTTGAACGTTTTGAACAGGTTGACTATCCATCGTCAGGAGTGGGGAATAGCTGGCATACTATACGTGACTGTGTGGGCTTGAGTCACCGTGGTGTGGACTTGGGTGTGAACCCCGATTCACGCTGTCACGTATAGTACCACCACATCTGCAACCTGGTGACTTAAGCTCATGCATGCCAGCTATTCCCCACTCTCGACAACGGATGGTCAATCTGTTTGAAACGTCGAGCCACTCCTACCACCCATCCTCTCCAACCGGCGATGTAGTTCTCCTTAGAACTATAAGCTAAGAAAGATAACCAAAAGTCTTTTTCAAGACTATGCCAACAGTCCTTTTCAGGACTACACACACTCAAGAAAGAAAGATTACCAAGAGTCCTTTTCAGGACTCCCCAATCCTCCCCCTCTTTCACATGGTGCACCCGCAAGCCTACTGTATATCGCCATGCAAGCCGATACTTTGTTTTCTATAATACCGTGTATACAGTAAGCATAAGGAGAAATGGTTCTCCGCAGTAGGGGGTTAAGTTAAACATATGTGAATATGTTTTGTATGTCATGTGGTTAAATAAATAAGTTATCTAGAAATATCGCAATCTGTATTGCTGCGCAATGAGAATGTATCCTCCGGGAATGGCAGCGATTTTTGTGTCATCCTTATGTTCAAAGGAGGGACAAAGATCCCCTCTCCCCTTCCTGAAACAAAAGAATGACATAGAGATCACCACTAGAGGCTCAGACTATTGTCAAGACTAGGAGCAGCATCACCAAAACGGTTGCTTACTGTGTGCCCAAGCTTTTACTGCTTCGTCGGACTGGCGTAGGGTAGTGTACTATCGCGTAGGCTTGGCGTACAGAATTTATAGTGTTGCGTAGACTTGCGTACAAAATGCGTACTTTCTGAGCCTGGTGTCTACGCCAAAAGTACGCCGCCAAAAACTTAAACATGTTTAATTTTTTGCGTCCATCTCGCATACCCCTTTGCGTCCCTCAGGGGTCGTTGTGTGGGCATTTTCGGTGGCCAGCGGAAGCAAAATGAGTGGCCGCTTGTCGCGTAAGACAAATGGTCATTGTGTACAGGTTCTTAACTACATGAAATCTCAAGGGGGATTTTAAGTGGTCATTATGGACAGGTGGTCGTTAACACAGATTTGACTGTATCTATATTATAGTTTATAATTGTCGAAGAAGATTATAAAATAAAATAAAAAAGACAGCAAAAAAAATAATTAAAATTTGGCCCACCAGGAATCTTGGGTCGCAAGAATGGGAGGCAAGTGCTGCCTTTAACCAATAAACCTATATATTTCTCTTAGACTTTACATGCAAAGCTGACAAACGGCCTTGAAATAGTCGCTATTTCAACTTTCAATCAATTTTTTTTTATATGATCCCAACATCTGATTTAAAAAAAAGGCACTTCCCATAGATAAGCCCATAGCCTCAGCTATAACATACCAAAATTTATGAAAAAATAGAGCAAAAATAAGCGAGATTTTGCTCAAAGAACAATGTCATGTAGATTCATGATGTGAACAAAATTCACCTTCCATAGGCATAACACGGAAATTAAGAAAATTCTGACATGTCGCTTTTAATTGAAATTATCACTACGATGACGTCATCAAAATGAAAAATGGTTGTGAAAGATATTTAGAGAATTGTCTTAGCTACAACATATCAAAATTGGAAGCAAATCAATCTATATGTACTTAATGGCCAAATGAGACATGAAATCATATCTCAAAATTATATTCTATCCATATATAAAGAAAAAAATTGGGGGTCCCCAAGCATCCCAAAGAGCTATAATGGACTTTTTATAGCGTTGTTTTTGCCCATATATGCTACCTAAGTGTTTTTAATACAAGAGATTGTGCGCAAGGACATTTATCTTGGATGCTTATTCCATTATAAATAGTCATAAAGAGATAACAAGGGAAATGCTCTCGGCGGTCTCGCCTGCATTACGCAATTCGATATGATGAAAAATGATAGCAAATTGTTTGGAAACAAATGGGGAATATCATGAAAGAAAAAAGAATTTCAATTTTATGTTGCTTGTTACGCGTGACTTTACGAACGACTTGTATATGAAGTGCCAGATAGGATGCCCAAAGTTTTTTTTCTGATATTTTCAATAACCTCAATTAAATTATGGCAAAAAATATACTTTGCATTACAAATGTTTGTTATCATAAGAATGTTAATCTACATCTGCACAGTTCAACTTTAGTTGATGTATTTAATAATGATTGAGCATCCTATTTGGCTTTTTATATACAAGTCATTCGTAAAGTCATGCATTACTTTACGAACAGCTTTATGAAAAAACCCCTGATATGATTAAAAATCTGTTGAGGTTTCACAGACAATGTAAACTGTTAGTTTACCTGGCAATGAACATATTTTGTAGAAGGACCAACAGCCCTAGGTTAGAGTAATGTGCTTTTATGCCCCAAGATTCACTGTACTGTAATCAGACTCTGCATGTCTGATCAAAAGGCAGCCTTTACGTCTACAGTGTAGGTACAGTTTACAAAAGGAGGTCTTTATTGCTTTACATCTAGGTAAAGGATGGATCAAAGGAGAAACAAAGACATAACAGAAGAGAAGAGGATATATTGAAGGAAATGCATAATGAGAGTGGAGAGTATGGAGAGGGATATATATATAAGGAAAGAGAAGAGGATAGATCAGAAGAAAACAGAAATACATAATGGAAGAGAAGAGGATAGATTTACGGAAAAACGAAAAATACATGACGAAAGAGAAGAGGATAGATAGATTGAAGGAAAAACAAAGAAATACATAACAAAAGAGAAGAGGATATATTGAAGGAGAAAAGAAAACAACAAAAGAGAAGAGGATAGATTGAAGGAAAAACAAAGAAATACATGACAAAAGAGAAGAGGATAGATTTAAGCTAGCTGGCTCTCCAGGCTTCAAACACCTACAATTAATGTAGCTAATCACAGTCACTGCTAGCTAAATACAATAATAGTGAGTATTGTAAAAAGGCACATATGCAGGGAGTTCGCTAAATGCAGCAAAATCTTTGCATTGGCTAAAGTAAATATCGAATTGGCAACATGAAAATAGCTATTTTTGTGTACATCGATCGTGTGTATATGCCTTATTGGCCGAAAAAATTTGACTTCATAAATAATAATAATAATAGTAATCTTTTAGTCCACTTCAAATTTTATTAAACCGAAAATGGAAATTCTTTTTGCCCAATTGATTGTGAGCCCTGCAGCCTCTGAGCAGCTCCAGATCGATGTTACTCTATCCCCTTATTGTTGAACGCTAAACAAGGTAGCAGCAACTCCCGTCTTTTAACGTCTTTACTTTCAAAATTATAATATAAATTCAAAAACTTAACCAGAAAAGCGGCGCCTATGTCTCGCTTTTTGCTACGCAGGCGAGACAAAAATGATAGCAAATTGTTTAGAAACGAATGGGGAATATCATGTAATAAAAAAGAATGGCAATTTTATGTCGCTTCTGGCACAAACGAAAAGGCACGCGCATGCGTCGTTTTTTGACAATTGCTCAAATGGCCCGAAAACGTATGCAGAATGAATTTGAGACAATTTGGAGCATTTTGACATTTTGCGCGCAGACTGATGCACGGACGTACCCGTATTTGCACGTTTATTGACGTGACTTCGACTAGAATAAAATGACCTTTGATCATGAAAATTTGAATGAAAATAAAGACTTTCCATTACGGAGATATGACAATAACTTGAATGCCAACAACAACAAAAATCACATAATGGCGCCTGGATGAATTCATGAGTATCTGATGACCTTGAAATGTGTCAAGTCTTATGCCAATGATATGACTGTGCCAAAATTGGAAGAAATTGACTGTACTGATTTGTATTAATCGTCTGCACAAAAAAGTGGAGGGAAATAATAAAGAAAGAAAATTCTGACAAAATCAAGAGGTGATCTGTCGGTGACAGACCACCTAATTAGGGACAAGTTTGATATGAAAAGTGATTATGAAAAGGACTATCCATTACCTCTGCACCATGATTCAGGAAAAGCTTGACATAGTAATCATCTCCAGTCATGCAAGCACAGTGTAGAGGTAGAAGGGTGCCATGCATCTGATTGACATCTGCTCCCTCAGCGAGTACAGACTCTACAGAATCCTTTAGCGATAAACAACCATAATGCAATGATTCATCAAATCATCACAGTGCATATATTTATATAATTTATATATATACATACATGTATATATAATATATAACTATGTACATTGCATTCGACCGTCAATTGTTCTCTTTTGCTCTCAAGCCACAGGAAATGTTTGGACAGTCATCTGAAGACTTCCGTCCACAGCTGATCTGAGTGTTTCTCTGAATGGAAGGCTTACAACACCCCCACAAATTCAATCCTATTTTTCATACTATGATACTGGACCCCAATCAGCGATTTTTCCTATATACTATCATATCTCACATCTAATCCAATTTTGACATCTCCCAAGTTCCAGGTCAGGTCAGAAAGTATGCAGTGGCATTTAGATGCCTATGAACAGTGAAAAAAGAACATCTCACCTTAGGCGACAGGGTCCAACCACTAATGGCTCTAATAAGTCGGTCAGACAATGTAAAATGGTGCTGAGCCATAGCAAGGCATTGGTAGGTGCTCATAGCAAGCCTCTGTTCCTAGAAAACAAATACCAGCTGATTAAAAACTTGAATTCTCCATCTAGAATAGAAGAAAGAAAAACTAGCTCATTTTCAACTTTATTGCGCTTCTAAAATTTACAGGTAGTTATGTGTGCAGGACACGGTAAGATATGGCTAGTTTTAACAACCCAATTTTTTTATATAGATTCAGTGCTTACGGTGACCAATTACGGTACAATGATTCACTAAAACTGACAGTTAATGACTGATTTGATTTTCGGAATGAGATCTTGATCTAGATCTAGACTCTATGTTTTCTAGCATCTGCATGTGAGTCGAAGTAATTGTACTATAAAAGTAGAAATATTTGCGGTACATTAATTTTCACGGATTTCACGCTAAGATCGGCCAGCGCAAATTTTAGAACTTGCGAAAATAGTATAAGCATGACTTCTTTTGCGTGTTTTAAATGGGCTGAATTGCATGCAATATGGTTTAAGAACAAGCGAATATGTTTTGAGTTGGTTGGCGAAAAAATAATCATGCAAAAATAGAGCGTTTACAGTATTCAATTGATATATAGATGTTGGGATATGTAATTAAAATGGTGATTTTGAGAGAATGTTATTTTTGTTGGCTTTTCTTAAGTGGTTTAATTATTGAGGTGAACAATGACTATTTAAAGGTGTGTTGGCTCAGTCAGTAGAGCGTCCGCCTCACAACTGGGAGGTCGTGGGTTTGAACCCCGGCCGTGTCATACCAAAAGACGTTAAAAGACGGGAGTTGCTGCTACCTTGTTTAGCGTTCAACAATAAGGGAATAGAGTAACATCGATCTGGCGCTGCTCAGAGGCTGCCGGGCTCACAATCAATTGGGCAAAAAGAATTTCCATTTTCGGTTTAATAAAATTTGAAGTGGACTAAAAGATTACTATTATTATTATTATTTATGAAGTCAAATTGGTTCGGCCAATAAGGCATATACACACGATCGATGTACACAAAAATAGCTATTTTCATGTTGCCAATTCGATATTTACTTAGGCCAATGCAAAGATTTTGCTGCATTTAGTGAACTCCCTGCATATGTGCCTTTTTACAATACTCACTATTATTGTTTTTAGCTAGCAGTGACTGTGATTAGCTACATTAATTGTAGGTGTTTGAAGCCTGGAGAGCCAGCTAGCTTAAATCTATCCTCTTCTCTTTTGTCATGTATTTCTTTGTTTTTCCTTCAATCTATCCTCTTCTCTTTTGTTGTTTTCTTTTCTCCTTCAATATATCCTCTTCTCTTTTGTTATGTATTTCTTTGTTTTTCCTTCAATCTATCCTCTTCTCTTTCGTCATGTATTTTTGGTTTTTCCGTAAATCTATCCTCTTCTCTTCCATTATGTATTTCTCTTTTCTTCTGATCTATCCTCTTCTCTTTCCTTATGTCTTTGTTTCTCCTTTGATCCATCCTTTACCTAGATGTAAAGCAATAAAGACCTCCTTTTGTAAATTGTACCTACACTGTAGACGTAAAGGCTGCCTTTTGATCAGACATGCAGAGTCTGATTACAGTACAGTGAACCTTGGGGCATAAAAGCACATTACTCTAACCTAGGGCTGTTGGTCCTTCTACAAAATATGTTCATTGCCAGGTAAAACTAACAGTTAACATTGTCTGTGAAACCTCAACAGATTTTTAATCATATCAGGGGTTTTTTCATAAAGCTGTTCGTAAAGTAATGCATGACTTTACGAATAACTTGTATATAAAAAGCCAAATGGGATGCTCAATCATTATTAAATACATCAACTAAAGTTGAACTGTGCAGATGTAGATTAACATTCTTATGATAACAAACATTTGTAATGCAAAGTATATTTTTGCCATAATTTAATTGAGGTTATTGAAAATATCAGAAAAAAACTTTGGGCATCCTATCTGGCACTTCATATACAAGTCGTTCGTAAAGTCACGCGTAACAAGCAACATAGAATTGAAATTCTTTTTTCTTTCATGATATTCCCCATTTGTTTCCAAACAATTTGCTATCATTTTTGTCTCGCCTGCGTAGCAAAAAGCGAGACATAGGCGCCGCTTTTCCGGTTAAGTTTTTGAATTTATATTATAATTTTGAAAGTACAAGTTTTTATTCAATGAAACTTTGATTATAGGGTTATCAAGTATCCCCATATGATACCATATGATACCATGTACCGGTATGAAAGATAGAAAATTCTGACAAAGTAGGAAGCATTCTGTATGTAGCAGCCTACAGACCACTCAACAGTACAGTAACTATAAATGTGAAATGTGCAAAGTTTGTCAAAAAATTCGGAATTTGTGAGACCATGGTGGGCCTCGTGTGAGTTCTTTAAAAATGCAGTTTGATTTTTTAATGAAATTCACCTCTACATATATAATACAATAAAATTTTAAAAATTGTGCGTCTTAATGTTTAATGACTAATTAATGTTTGCCAAAAAATGACCATTCACATATTTTCAATTTGCATCTGGCTTTTCTGGGAACAATGATATCATACATGCATGGTCACTATGGGCACATGCAGGAGAATGCACCGATTGTATAATCTGATTGTATAATCTTAAGCTTCTCCTGATTGGCAACTTTCCTGAGTGCCAAGACTATTGAAATGAAGACTCAATTAGACTTACTTTAGAGAAGCTGCTGCTGATCCGACCATCAAATTGTCCACATACACCTGCCTAAAATCCATGATCCTATGAAACAATGAAAAGCATGGATAATTAAAGGGAAATACAATGTTGATAGATAAATTCTATCATTAGAAGAAGTGTGATTTTTTAATTTTCTGTCTTGTTTATGTTTTCATCAAACTTCAATATACATAAAGACAAGTGATACGGTACTTTGTACACATAGCACTGACTTATCTGCACTCTGCTACTGAGCTGGGACCAAAAATTACATTCGGCAGAATTTAGAATCTACTCCATTCACCTGACTGGATTTTACCTAAAGAAAATCACACCCAAAACTTTTTCTTCTAATAGTTGATGCGTCTAAAAGCAGAAAAGTGCCAAACCTCAGGCATCCTCTACTCCTCAGTGGGAAAAAAAAAAATTGGGGGGGGGGGGGGGGGGGCTCCATATCCAATTTTTCTGAGATTTTTTTGGTCTACTTTTTTAACTTTCAGGGGGCTACTTTTTCCATTACAGGGACTTCTTTATCATTAATTTTTAAAAGGATGCAAATTGTTGTTTATTTTAGGCTTACTGGTCTACATGTATATCTCTGATTAAGGTTTCGGGCTTCCTGCTTCATATTTACCCATTAACCCATTCAAAAAGAAAGCATTTAATTAATGAAATAAATAAGTTTTAATGCATTTGTTACTTGTGGTTTCCTCTACCCGTTGTCCCCAGGTCCTTTGTTCCACAACAACAGAATACACAACACAAAGTGGTTAGATTTCAAGGGCTGATCTTCATATTGAGCTTCGTTCTTCAACTCCAAATACTAGACTAACTCGTCCTGAGGACGGTCTGTACAATGTATCTAGATTCGGTCGATACACCCATCACACTCTCCCCCATAAATTAGCACTTATACCAGTAGGAGAAGTGCTATAAAAACATTTCTTTTTCAATGTTGTTTCAGCAACTGCTGTAAGAATACAAAAACCTGAAAGTATTTATAAGTATGAGGTCTTTGTAGATTTAGAAATCTGATAAACAAGTCAGCTTGTAAAACTATACAGTACCAGCATGCAAATGGTATCACAGCGTTGTCTAGTGGTTTCTGTTCATACAATAAAATTGAGTATGAACAGCTATAATTAAAAACATTAACCATTCTTTTATCATCCTGCTCTATCATCTTCATCGCTGACTTTTGCATATATCAGAAGTCATTTGTACTTAACATAAAACAAAATACAATTCAAATCGCAGAGAAGTTCACCTTAAATGACCTATCAATATTGATATGTCTTCATGCTTCTTCGCAAGTTTGAATCTAAACATATTTCTTTGCATAAAAATAATACTAAACAAACTTCAGCAACATTAACCCTGTCTGAAAGATAATATAATATAGCCTTCACGTCAGTTGTAAAAACATGTTACTATTAATCTGAAGTTTTGCATTGTAGTGTAAAACCATATCATCTGTGTTGGTTGAGTATTGAATATTTTCAAGAATAACTTTAATTACTTTATATCCATAACCAAAAATATGGTAAAACACCAAAATACTTTTTGTTCCAAAGTTCCTTCTTTTAATATATTTATCCTGCCTTGGATAAAACATATAAATCAATTTACTGTTTCTGTTTTCATATATATACATGCACAGACAAAATGATGACTCACTAGGCTTTCTAGTTCCCTGTGTTTGTACCAAAAGGGTTTTAACACAATAATATTATCATGCATGTTCAAATTCGTCAACGAATACAATAAGCATATCACATACACACTGGTTTACAGACATCTGGAAAGCAAACATAAGAAAAATACATTTTTCTGTGAGTCCAATAAACAGTTTCAATGAGTCCAATCAGTCTATGTTCACAATGCTTTGTGATATTAAAGAAACCATCAAAGTTAAAAGTTCTGGTTCCCTTTCTCACAGTATTCCAATGAATTCACCAAAGTTCAACTGTTCAAGTATGATGCTTCACTGTAAGTGTTCAACTGTTCACGAAATGATGCTTCACTGTAAGTGTTGAACTGTTCAAGAAATATGGTTCACACAAGGGTTGTTCACTTTTCCTTGTGAATATATCAATTAGTTTGTCATTGATGTGTGCTAGAACCTCTGAATTTTTCAATTTCACACATGGGTTCTCTCTCTCAATCTTGCACACTTCTTTCTCAATTTCACACTTTGAGTCACATTCAACAGCACTCAACACTGGTTGTGCTTTACTCTCGTCATCTCTTCGGATATATGGCTTAAGCATATTCACATGACACACACGTCTCTTCTTCTGCCTATCTGGAGTATTGACAACGTAGTCGACATCACCAACTCTCTTAGCAATAGTGTACGGCCCAGAAAATCTAGCCTGCAGAGAATGACCAACTATCGGCAGTAAGACCAAGACTTCATCTCCTACCTCGAAATTCCTCTCTTTGGATTTCCTGTCATACCATGACTTCATCGTCACCTGAGAATCTGACAAATTCTGTCTGGCAACCTCCCACGCCTGATGCATTCTCTCACGGAAAGTATTCATATACTCCAACACATTTGTTTGTGAATCATCACACAACAGTCTCTCTTTTAGCAACTTCAATGGTCCACGTACTGAGTGACCGTATACCAACTCAAAAGAACTGAAACAAAGCGACTCTTGTACAGCATCCCGCACAGCAAACAATAACAAGGGAACTCCCTCATCCCATTGTTTCTCTGACTCCATACAATAAGTTTTCAACATATTCTTCAAAGTCTGGTGGAATCTCTCCAGTGCTCCCTGGGACTCTGGGTGGTATGCACTCGAAACTACATGTTTTATGCCCAGTTCCTTCAACACCTGATTGACCACCCTAGACATGAAATTTGACCCTTGATCAGATTGTACAGTCTTTGGTAGCCCTACAGTAGTGTAAAATTTCACTAACGCCTTTGTCACATTATTCGCTGTAATGCGCCTTAGTGGTATCGCTTCGGTATATCTCGTCGCAGCGCACATTATCGTCAATAAGTATTCATTACCTGCCTTTGTCTTTGGCAGAGGACCTACACAATCTACTATGATCCTAGAAAATGTTCATCGAACGCCGGTATTGGCTTCAATGGTGCTGCTGGTATTTTCTGATTCGGTTTACCTACAACTTGACATGCGTGGCAACTTCTGCAAAAATTTGCAACATCTTTTTGCACACCTGGCCAAAAGAAATGAGAAAGAATTTTCTCCCGGGTTTTGTGAACCCCTAAATGACCTGCAAGTGGAGCTTCATGAGCAAGGCTAATTATGTCCTGCCTGTATGTAGAAGGGACTACAATAATGTACAATTTGGTGGACTTCTTTCCACACCTCATCTGCAGGGACATCTGCTGGCCTCCACTTTCTCATTAGCACACCTGCTTTCTTGTAATAACAACAGGCACAGTCAATGCCTCTCCTCAGAAACAGCTCTCTCATTCAAAGAAATCAACTGAGGATCTCTTAGTTGCTCCTTTAGCAACTACTCTTTTTCAAAGATAGTGGGTTCAGATTTTTCAATATTTCCTACGCTCATGAACCTTTCTCGCACTCTCATTCACATTGGAA